GAAAAAAGCTACATTTTTCTAAAAAATATTATTTTATATATATAATAAAAATAATTTAATCAATAAAAAAATAACCGTAAAATACTGTCACATAATAATCATTAAAATTAAATAATATATAAGATTATCAAAATAACTTATATTTTAAAACATAAAAAATCTCTAAAATAATTTATATTTGAAAACGGAAAAAATATTAGACTATATTTTATAATTATAAAATCATAAAGAATTAAGAGAATAGTTCTTAAGCAACTAATGTTGCTTTCATGGATTTATAGCCTCTGCTTTTTCTTTTCTTTACCCACCCACCACATCAAACACACAAGATCCCACCAATAATTGAAACTTTTTCTTTTGCCCCCTCACTTTTTCATTTTATCCATTTTACACCCCTGAAACTACTTTAATTCAACATCCACCCCTGAATTTACTTGCAACAATGAAATTTCCAAATATCTGATTTTTACAGTTTAATAAGTGAACTGCTGAATTATAATGAAAATAAACGATGATAGTTTTTGTTTTTCTTCCCAAAAACATTACCTATTACTCATTAATACGAATAATGTGATAAAATCTCAAAAACAAAAAATTACATGGGTAAGATTTCGTAATAGACGATAAAATCGAGGGCATTTCTAGAAATAACCTATGCTCTCTCTCTCTGATAGTAGTTTACTTAAAAACAAGAGAGAAAATGATTGAAGTACGCCAAAAATATAAAATTGGGACCTCTAAAAATTCTCCAAATATTTAATCTTGGAACCCAATTTTCTCAAAAATTGCATTTCTGACCCTACTCAGATCTCTTCCTTTCAATGTCCTCCCAACTCCTTCGTGAACCGAGAAGGAAGCCATTCTCGTCCTCGCCAGAAACTCATGCGGCGGTACTCTTCCTCCGCTCGCATCCAACCAATCGCCACCGTCTTCGTAATCTCCGTCGTCGTCAACCTCGATGCTTCTCCGGCGATGATCTCGGTGTTCCTCACGGAGAATCTTCGACCAGTCGGGGACGTTCACCGGAAGCGACGACGCTGCTACGGCTGATGAAACGGCGCACGAGGAGGGCCGATTCGACGGTTTTTTACCGGATCGGGTCGATGCAGAGATTTTGCGACGAAAATCCGGCGAATCTGAGTGGATCGAACCACCGGATGAAGCGTAGAGATCGGATTCGTCGAATTCGAGTCCGGAATCTGTTGCGGCGAAGTATGACTGATCGGTGCCGAGAAATCTGTAGCTTGGCCTTGCGTAGTAGCTTTTCCCCGTCGCCATTGAAGAAGAAGAAGAGAGAGAGATTTTAAGAATTTAAAATTTGTTTTTGGGTTTTTTTTTTTATAAATTTGAAATTTATTGTTATTTGGTTATGAGAAAAATTAGTCTCGAGGCAGTCTTTGCTTTTATAAGAGGTTTTGGGGTTACTGGATAAAATGGATAAGGGACCCTCTCTCTCTCTTCTCTGTTTAACTTCCAGTTTCCATCAGATTTTAAAATGACGGAAATACCCTTATTAATTTATGTATTTACGGGAAAATGCCACGAACGCGAAGAGTTAGCTTTCGTGGAGGAATATTACATGTGGCGTGTTTGGCATATTCTTACCACTTTCGTTTTTGTTTTTTTTTGGTATCGGAAAAGTAAGTA